CTATCTGATACCTTCATTTGAATATTTAATAGGAATCTCAACCTTACTACAAACCTTAGAATAAAAATAGAGCTCTTGTTTACCTTTCTCTATGTTGGTCAATGGCACCAACCAACCATTCACTCAATTACTCAAGCCAAAACTCTCTGGAACCAATGAATATTTTTCCTTATGAGATAAACATACTTCTAACACAGCCATATTACATTTCCACTTCTTCCATCCTTCTAAGCCATGTTTGATCTTATCTGGACCATTGTAACAGACTTCTCATGAATTTCCCTCTTCTCACTCTTTCTCTTCTACAATCAGTTCACTGTACAGTAGGCAGAGCAAATGAAATTATAAGATTTTCTGTATGAAACCATCCAAAGACAGCAGGCATGGTGGCGCAGCCCTGTAGTCCCAGCTACTCAGTAAGTTAAGGTGGAAGGATCACTTGAGCCCAGGAGTTAGAGGCCAGCCTGAGCAATATAGTGAGACCCCCATTTCTAAAACAAAAACAAAAACAAAACAAAACAAAAAAACCTAAACAACCCTAACCAAAAAAATCCCTAACAACAAACATTCAAAAGCTTTCCACTATACACCCTGGTTTACAAAGCACTACACAGTTGTCCCTCGGTGTCTGTGGGAGATTGGGTCCAGGATGTCCCAAGGACACTAAAATCCATGGATGCTCAAGTCCCTGATATAAAATGGAATATTTGCATATAATCTATGCCTGACTTCCTGTATACTTCAAATCATCTCTAGCTTACTTATAATACCTAATACAATGTTAACGCAATATAAACTGTTATACTGTATTGTTTAGGGAATAATAATAAGGAAAACAATTTGCAGCTGTTCAGTACAGCTACAGATGCAATAATAGTCTTTAAAAAATGTTTTTGATCCAAGGTTGGTTGAATCCACTGATGCAAAACCCATGGATACAGAGGACCAATCGTAAATAATCTGACCTCACCTGCCTCTCTAATTTTATCTTATGCCGTTTTTCTACCCTTCACTATATTCCAGCCACACTAGTATTGTTTCTCAAAATGACCATTTCATTTTCTTCTAAGGTCTTTGGGCTAGTTGTTTCTTCTGTCTGGAATGTTCTTTCCACTGATTTTCACATATTAAGAGGCTTCTGGATGGGCATGGTGGCTCACGCCTGTAATCCCAGCACTCTGGGAGGCCAAGGCAGGCGGATCACAAGGTCAGGAGTTCGAGACCAGCCTGGTCAACATGGTGAAACTCCATCTCTACTAAAAAAATACAAAAATTAGCCAGGCATCATGGTGTGTGCCTGTAACCCTAGCTACTCAGGAGGCTGAGGCAGGAGAATTGCTTGAACCCAGGAGGCAGAGGTTGCAGTAAGCCAAGATCATGCCACTGCACTCCAGCCTGGGAGACAGAGTAAGACTCCATCCAAAGAAAAAAAGCAGCTTCTTGGCATTCCCATGCAACTTATATGTGATCTCATCTGCAAAACCTTTCACAAACATCATTTTTTCATTAGAAATATTTTCACAAAGTACCCAGTACATGCCAACGTTGTTCTATATACTGGTGGAAAAGTACTCGATCTCATTAATAATCAGGGAAATGCACATTAAAACCATAATGAGAAATCTCTTCATAGTCACAGAATGGCTAAAATAAGAAAGACTGACAATTCCACATGTTGAAGATGTAGAACAGCAAGAACTTTCTTCACTGCTTATAGACAGTATAAACTGGCATAAATCACTTAAAGCAATGTTCTTAACAGACCAACTGGAAATAATCCAAATGTTCACCAACATAATAGATATATAAATCATGGTATATTTATACAAAGGAAAATTACACAGTGATGAAAATGAACAACCTACAGCTACATTTTAAAATGACAAAGTAAAATCTCACAATGTTGAGCAAAAGCAGCAAGACACAAAAGAATACACACTGCAAGAAGCCATTTATATAAAGTTCAAAAAGTTAAACTACTGTATTAGAAGTCTGAGATCATGGTTACCTTTGAGTAGAAGGGAGGCAGTATGGGTTAAAAGAGTATGAACAGGGCTCTGGGGTCTATTTCTTAGGCCTGGGTGATATCTACATGAGTGTGATCATTTTGTGATAATTTACTGAGCTGGAAACTTTTGACTTGGACATGTCTCTGCATGTTATGCTGCTACACAAAACCTTTTTTTTTGAGACAGCGTCTCACTTTGATACCCAGGCTGGAGTGCAGTGGTGTGATCATGGTTCACTGCAGCCTTGACCTCCTGGGTTCAACTGATCCTCCTGCCTCGGCCATTGGAGTAGCTGGGGCTACAGGTGCATGCCGCCAGGCCTGGCTTTTTTTTTTTTTTTTTTTTTTTGTAATAGAGTCAGGGTCTCCCTATACTGCTCGGGCTGGTCTTGAACTCCTGGGCTCAAGTGACCCTCCAACCTCGGTCTCCCAAAGTGCTGGGATTGCAGGCATAAGCCATTGCACCCAGCCTACAAAAGTTTTTTTTTTTTTTTTAAGCTTCCGTTCTTTATTTAACTTTTATGATTATGAAGCCATTCAAATGTTAAGTATAATAACCAGGGAACTCACACTAGGTCTCCTTTGTGAGGAAGCAATGGAGAACTTGTTATTTAATCTTAGTATCAGGAATAGATGTGGCTCTTCTAGCTAATTGGTCTGTTTTCATAATATAGACACTCTGAAATGTTTAAGTGACCAGGTTTTGTGTTGGCTGCAAAACCTTAGAGCCAAATCTGAGGCCCACTTATAGGAAAGATATATTTTTATGGTAAGCATTTTTATAATGGTCTTATTCATGCTTCCATATTATATTTCTACAGTTTTTTTTCTTTCCTTTTGCTCCCAAAATTGTAGTTTATTACTTTGTAGCGGTTGCAAATTTCCTTAATTCTATCTGCAACAAGGAAGTGTATTAATAAATAAAAATGCTTCAAAGGTTTTTTTTCTTTTTTTAAAAAAAAGATGCAGTTTGTTTGATTTCTACTCTTTAAATCTACACAATCTAGCTTTCAATTTTCATAGAAGAAAATTCTAACCTGTTGATTAATTTTCTTTTCATGTTTGGATAAGGTAAGACTGCTTTCTTAGGCTACACGTAAAAAACTGACATCAAAGTTAAACTTCATGTGAGTTATTTTCTGGCAGTCCTGATGAGACTATCTATCTATCTATCTATCTATCTATCTATCTATCTATCTATCTATCTATCTATCTATCTATCTATCCATCCGTCCATCTTTCCAATCCATCCTATCTATCTATCTATCTATCTAATCTATCTATCTATCTATCGATCGATTGGAGTCTCACTCTGTTGCCTGGAGTGCAGTGGCATGATCTCAGCTCACTCCAACCTCCACCTCATAGGTTCAAGCGATTCTTCTGCCTCAGCCTCCCCAGTAGCTGGGGTTACAGGCACACACCACCATGCCTGGCTGATTTTTGTATTTTTAGTAGAGATGGGGTTTCACCATGTTGGATGGGCTGGTCTCAAACTCCTGACCGCAAGTGATCCACTTGCTCAGCCTCCCAAAGTGCTGGGATTACAAGCATGAGCCACCACACCCGGCCAGAATATCATGATTTTTAGTCAAAGCATATGACAGGGAAAATTAATGTTTGTTGACTGATTTTTACATTAGTTTTAGAAATAAAGTCAATCTATATGTAAGTTTCAGCAACATTAAAGCTTCCTTATCATGAGACATCAAAATTTTAAATGGCAGGTTGCTTTACTTTAATCACAACTTCCTTTGAGAACACCTTTTGAACATAAGTAATTCCTAGGGTTCTCAAAAGAATAAAGATTTCTAGAACACACTTATTTGTAACTTTTTCTTTCATGCTATGGCTATCGATTTAAAAATATGATAATAAATACACACAAATAGGTAAAGATTATATGTAAGATCCTGAATCCCTCAAACATTATCATGGCTGAAAATTAATATTTACAGGACTGATTTCCCAAATTTCAAAACAAATAAAACTGAGCCACATCTAAGATTTACTGTTCTGTTTATGTTTTATTTCTTCTTCATTTAGAACTGACTCTTAGACTGACTACCCCAGGAGGTATTACCCAAAACACACAGACTTTAACTGAAGGGTGTAATACCAGGAAAGGGTAATGTCTAAACTTTTTCCTTTGAGGTTTAAATTCACTTAGTGGTCAAAATGAGTTTTCTTTTTTTTTTTTCTTTCTCTTTCTTCTTTTTAATCAAATGAAAGTTATACTACCTTCTCAAATCTCATTACTGTGAATACACATTATTTTATAAATAATTCAAAACAAGAAATATGGTATTCCATTAGTGTTTAGCCAAATACTATCATTAAAATAGAAAACAATAAAGGACAAGAAAATTGACCTCGAGCCACATTAACATCTCTCTCTAATCAAAACATATTAGTTTAAATACTTTAAATTACTCAGTATAGTACTTAGTAAAACCAAAAATTTTGTGAGTTGAATCTCACAGATTCAAGGTAGTGCCAGTTTAAAAAGCATTCAGATACTAAGAAATCTGTTAACTGATATTAGGCAAGTATCCTTTTTTGCAATCTCAGTAATACCACCATGAGGGGGAAAAGAAGACGAGTAAAAAGACTTCCCTCTGCATGCAACGGTAAATACCACAAATCTATTCTATAGGTATAAGCACAATTGTAGTTTAGTTGAAGTAACTTTGACATCTATGCAAACCACCAAGAGGTTTTACACCACAATAAAAAAATAAAATATTTGCCATGAAAATATTAATTGATCATTCTAGGTCATGCTAATGAGGTTAAGGGGAAATAAATCCCCCATATTAGAACAGAAGATGCTTGCTAAAAAGACAATTTTCAAAAATGTTATTAATTATAACCAATAATTCACAGAAGATATTCAGCACACAAGTGTCAGTCTTATAACCAGTAATAAAGTGTTGTTACAATACAGAGGAAGGAAGAAAGAAATATGTGAAGATCAAAATTTATCACTTACCTCATGATTCAGCTCTGCTATCTGATCTTTCAGTTCCCTAATATACTGGTTAGAATCAGACTTGTTAAGCTGTCCTTGAAGCTTTCCTTCTTCTTTCTGTTTTGTGGCAAAACAACAAAGCAAAAACGAGGCAATTTTTCACAGCATGTACTCAAATATTTCAAGGTATAGGAAAAGCATAGGCACATACCCTTTAATTACCTGAATTCTGAACAAATCCATTCTCAAACTACCTCTGACAGACAAGTCATAGTGAACTACGCTGTTATTTATTTATTCATTTAGAGACAGAGTTTTGCTCTTGTTGCCAAGGCTGGATGGAGTGCAACAGTGCCATCTTGGCTCACCGCAAGCTCTGCTTCCCAGGTTCAAGCGATTCTCCTGCCTCAGCCTCCCAAGTAGCTGGGATTAACAGGCATGTGCCACCACGCCTGGCTAATTTTGTATTTTTAGTAGAGACAGGGTTTCTCCATGTTGGTCAGGCTGGTCTCAAACTTCTGACCTCCTGACCTTAAATTAAATTATTTAATTTAAATAATTTAAATTATTTCTTTAAAAATGCTTAATAAAGGTTGTTTACAATAAATATAATTTATAAAATATATCTTTTGAAGGAGTCTCAGAAATCAGTAATTGAATGGGTCTACTGATGAAAAAATCACCCTAGAATTTCAAAGTAATTTATCTAGTTATTTTGAGGGCAGACGATTCTCTACTCATACTGTAAGGGATTCAATACTTAGTCAAGAAGATGGCAAGCTTCCCATATTCTTTCATTCTTGGGAATCTGCTTTTGCTTGGGGAACAGAAAAGGGGGGAAAAAAAGAAAAAGTTGTCCAAATCACTCTAGAAAGGGGAGGACAGCTTTGAGTCTCCTCTGTTTAATTAGCTCTTGATGTGGACTGGAAGTCCTAGATATAGCTGATTAAAAGCTGCTTCTGATCCTAAGAGTTTGTTTCAGGTGAACATTGGGACTATTTTCTAGGCACACAGATAGGTAAAGAGAGGCACTTTTTCTTATACCACCTGAAAACATACAAATTATTTTTCAGATAAAGAGTTGTTTTGTTTTTGTTTTTTTGAGATGGAGTCTTGCTGTCACCCAGACTGGAGTGCAATGGCGCGATTTTGGCTCACTGCAACCTCTGCCTCCCTAACTACCCTTTGTTTGTTCTTCAACTCCTTTCATCAACTTATTCCTACAAACTCCCTGTTTTCTGTTTGTTTTGCTTTGTTCTCTTTCTTTTGGCAATCTGTCTTAAAAACCTTTTACTAGAATATGGCCTGCTGAAGTGGTTTAGTGTAATTAATATTGGCATACATATAAAAGCGCAACTACAGCTTCTATAGGCTTAACATTTTTTTCTTATGCAGTCATGTTCCACATAATGATGTTTTGGTCAATGACGGAATGAATACATGATGACAGTCCCATAAGATTATAATAAGAAATTCGTAATGCCTACTGACATTGTAGTTGTACAATGTCATAGTAAAACACATTACTCGTGTTTGTGGTGGTGCTGGTGTAAATAAATCTACTGTGCGGCCAGTTGTATAAAAGTATAGCATATACAATTACGCACAGTGGATAATTGATAATAATAAATGACTATGTTACAGATTTATGTATTTAACGTACTATACTTATTATTATTTTAGTGTACTCTTTTTACTTATACAAGAAAAATTAACTGTAAGCCTCAGCCTGGTCCTACAAGACATATTCCAGAAGAAAGCATTGTTCTCTTAGGAGATGACAGCTCCATGTGTAATATTATTGCCCCTGAAGATATTCCAATAGGACAAGATGTAGAGGTAGGAGACAGTGATACTGATGATCCTGACCCTACGTAAGTATAGAATGGTGTGTTTGTGCCTGTTTTTGTTGTTGTTGTTGTTTTTTGTGAGACAGAGTCCCCTTCTGTCCAGGCTGGAGTGCAATGGCACAATCTCGGCTCACTGCAACCTCCACCTCCCAAGTTCAAGTGATTCTCATGCCTCAGCCTCCTGAGTAGCTGGGACTACAGACGCACGCCACTACGCCTGGCTAATTTTTGTATTTTTAGTAGAGACAGGGTTTCACCACATTGGCCAGTCTGGTCTCAAACTCCTGGCCTCAAGGGATCCACCTGTCTTGGCCTCCCAAAATGCTGGGATAACAGGCGTGAGCCACCGCACCCAGCCACGTGCCTAAGTTTTTAATAAAAAAGTTTAAAGAGTTAAAAAAAACAGCTTATAGAATAAAGATATAAAGAAAGAAGGTATTTTTGTACAGCTGTATAATATATTTAAACTAAGTATTATTAAAAGAGTCAAAAAGTTAAAAGAAATTAAGTTTATAAAGTGAAAAAGTTACACTAAGCTAATTTATTATTGAAGGAAGAAAAATTAAGAAAATAAATTTATAGTATAGATTAACTGTACTGTGTTTATAAAGTCTACAGTAGTGTGCAGTAATGTCATAGGCCTTCACATTCACTCACTGACTCACCCAAAGCAACTTTCAGTCCTCCAAGCTCCATTCACGGTACCATGCTCTATACAGGCGTACCATTTTAAATCTTTTATATCATATTTTTACTGTATCTCTATGTTTAGATACACAACTCCTGACCTTTGTCTTACAACTGCCTACAGTATTCAGGTGAGTAACATGCTGTATAAGTTTGCAGTCTAGGAGAAACAGGCTATACCATATAGCTTAGGTGAGTAGTAGGCTATACTATCTGGGTTTGTGTAAGTACACTCTATGATTCACACACTGATGACATTGCCTAAGGATGAATTTCTCAGAACATATTCTAGTTGTGAAGCAATGCATAACTGCATATTGACACATACTAATATCAGATACAGTTATCTAAGCCAAAACTGTCTTATTTAACAATTACTATATTCCAAATATACTAGACTTCTAAAATATATACAAAATACACCTTATGCTTTTTAGCCATAAGCCCATATTTAGGAAAAATATATATTCTTCTTTTGAAAATTTGGTTAGAAATACTAGTTTAACCCAACTGCCAGAGAAAAGGCTGAACTAACAGAATAGCAGAGATACTAAGTCAGAGTCCTAATCAAATCATCTCTGAGGCCTTCTCTGTTTTCTCATTTACATGGAACAATAAAGTCCCTCTATTATTTAAACCAGTTTAAATATAAATTTCTGGCTGGGTGTGGTGGCTTATGACTGTATTCCTAGCACTTTCAGAGGCCAAGGTGGGAGGACTGCTTGAGCCCAGGAGTTCAAAATCAGCCTGGGCAACATGGCAAGACCCAGTCTCTACAAAAACATTAAAAAAAATTAGCTGGGCATGGTGATGGGCACCTGTGGTCCCAGCTACCAGGAAGAGTAAGGCGGGAGGATTGCTTGAGTCTGTGAGGTTGAGGCTGCAGTGAGTTGTGTTCATATCACTGCACTCCAGCCTGGGAGACAGAGTGAAAACTTGTCTTAAAAGAAAAAAAATTACAGATTTTTGTCACTTGCAATCAAAATAATAGCTATTATATATTAAACAGTTATAACACTTAAAAGACCTTCTCATTTGAGATTTCCAAAGGATTAAGCCCTAATGTCTAAAGCATCATTATATGTGTATGATTTAATGCCTGTGCATCTAGAGTAGCACCACGTACTATCCTTGGAAGAACTGAGAAAACACAGTTGACCCATAACATGGCTTTGAACTATGCAGGTTCACAAATATGTGGACTTCTGTCTGCCTCTGTCACCCTGAGACAGCAAGACAACCCCTTCTCTTCCTCCTCCTCCTCCTCAGCCTAATCAATGTGAAGATAAGAATGAAGACTGTCGCAATGATCCACTTCCATTTAATGAATAATATTTTCTCTTCCTTATGATTTTCTTAATAACATTTTCTTTTTTCTAGCTTATTTTAAGAATACAGTCTATAATGCGTGTAACATACAAAATGTGTTCATCAACTGTTTATGTTATCAATAAGGCTTCTAGTCAAAAGTAACCTCTTAGAAGTTAAGTTTTGGGGCAGTCAAAAGTTATACATAGATTTTCCACTGGCAGGGATCAGCACCCTTAATCCCCACGTTGTTCAGGGGTCAATGTAGTTTACTCAAACCCTTTTCTGTAGAGTTTAATTCTCTTTTGGAGCTCTGGTGGAGAAATACTGGCACTTATAATGTGCCAGGAGTTTTCTAAGCTGCTTATGTGTAATAATCACAATGATCCTGTGTGACATGGAATATTATTATTCCTACTTCATAGATGAGGAAACGTAAATGAAAGTCTGAGTGAATTGGCTGCCTAAGAGTCATAGAGATGGTCAATACATTTTTCACCTTAATTTATAGCATTCTGAACATGAGAAACAATTAGGCAGATAGAGATTTATGCAAAGAATCAAGCAAATTTGCTTTCTTGGATTTGTTACAAAAGTCTATGTATTTACCTTAAAGTTTATTTTAGCCTCTGATAATTTAAATGGGAACTACAATATATAAAGAATTGAAGATGAAATGCTACAGCTACTTGCATTAATGGCCCTAAGCTAAAGACTCATATTAAACACACACGCTGTCCAATACCATTTACATGTGCTTATGCCTGCCTCTTATTTTTAATCACCATTTTTAAAATGAAATATTTTAGGCCAAGCACAGTGGTCCATGCCTGTAATCCCAGCACTTTGGGAGGCCAAGGCGGGCGGATCATGAGGTCAAGAGATCGAGACTATCCTGGCCAACTTGGTGAAACCCTGTCTCTACTAAAAATACAAAAATTAGCCAGGCGTGGTGGCAGGCGCCTGTAATCCCAGCTACTCAGGAGGCTGAGGCAGGAGAAT